TTGAGAAATGTACGATCTTTGAGGTGATTTTTATTGTGTTTAATATTTTACTCTGATATATGTGATTGATTTGCCATTATATTTGTGGGGTAGAAAAGGGTGTTACACGTCACGCCGTTGGCCACATTGCCCGTCAGGAACATATCCCCGAGAGAAGTAGGGAAAAAGCTAGGACTACATCTGATGGACAGGCCTCCCCACGAGCTTTTGTTCTGTCGAGCAGTTCCTACTCCTGGCCACACGCCTTGTCCCCCCGGGTTCAGTGTTTCGAACACACACAACGCTCATTCAGACAGGTCCTCAACGTTTGAACTGACTCTTAAGTCATTACTCCTCTGCTTCGGAGCAACGACTTAGGGGGCTCCTATTCTGAACTGGGCCAGAGGCTGGCCCACCGTCGGACACGGTATAATCCATCTCTTTATCGGCGAAGGCCCAATGAGGGACCAACTTATCTCATCACGCGGAGAGCACACACGTGTCTCCCCTACGGACTCCACGTACCCCTCGGGCAACTACCCACCTTCTAAAGATCACGGGACAGTTGACCCAAGATGAAGACCAAGTGCTGATCTTCCCTACGCCACGTAAGCCCTGACAGTTATTCGTATTGGACTTTGCAATCCGACCCAATGCAAAGTAACCGTTTTCTCCGCGCTGAGGTCACATTATAAATACCCTATTTCACTAGAGGGTCATGTATTTTATTCTTTCTACACCTTTTTTTGTACTAACTCTTTCTACTTCGTCTTTTACTTTGGCATCGGAGTACCTTGCAGGTACACCCCCTCCTCTTCTCCACCACCGGCGAATTGAGGAGCTCACGACGTGTTGCTGGCTGCTGATCCTTTTCTGATCCGATAAGATCAATATGTATGAAATTTTTTGAGATTGTTTTATTTTATTATTTGTAATGTAATTTGATCTTGAAAAAAATAAATATTTCTATTAAAAAATTGATTTTACTAAATGAATAGTAGCTGAGCGGGGATACACGAACCCAACCCAAATTCGTTTGGCACGAGTTTTTGTTTTAATTCTTCATTCCCGTTTAGATTTGAGACAGAGAATGAAGATTGTTTGAGAATTCAGGTTTAAGGAAAGGTAAAAACTATCATCAACCCGCTTCGTAGTCATGCCTGACCATTAATTTCTACTACATTGAAATCAACTATTTTTTTTTAAGAAAACATAAACGAAACTATCCAAAAAAGGAAAATAAAATAAAAATCAAAGTCAAACGTAAAAACATTAATGTTAAAAAAATATATCGTGTAAGAAAAAGGCATATAAATAAAAGTCTCACTTCATTATGATCATTGATGTGAAAGTCATATTTTTTACACTAATAACTGATTTAGTGAGAATTGATATTGGATTTAATAGAGAAAATCACAATTTAATTTTTCATAATTGTAATTGAAAGGGCGCTGAAACCACTTAATATTAATTATTAGTGATAAATGAAATTTCTTAATGTTTAGGAATATGTATGGCTGAGGATGTTTAGAATTATAGTAATGTAGTCTTTACTAAAATGTAAGTAGTTTGACTCGTTTTATTTCAATTTATAATTTCTTTCACCCTTCATTTCTAATTATAAATCTTTTTTTGAGAAAATTTGTTGTCCCTACATAAAAATCTTAATGCAATTTTTTAGTTTGAAATATTAATATTTTATAAATAGTTTTAATTTGTGTCCTAAAAACACATGGTAAAAAATCATAAATAAAAATTTTGTTTTAAAAAAATAAAAGATTTAATTATATATTTGTAATCAAATTAATATACAATTTTTTAAATAACTGTTTTACATTTAATTCAAACTTTTATATAAATTTTTAACATATACCCTTAGAATACATTATCTATATATTATTTTAGTTGATAAAAATGAAAATTATTACATTTTAATGTACAATGAGTATTTGTGAAAAATTGACATACAAAATATAGTCATTAAATATTTGAAAAAATATAGTCATTAAACTAAGTGAATTTAATTCACTAAAATTTTCATATTAAAAAATATGATTGATTCTAATTCAAATTTATAAAATCAGTTTGTATATGAGAATTGTTTCCACTTACAAAAATATATTCAAATCATATATTATTCAATGTGAAACTTTTAATATATTTTTTTATATTTAGATCTTTACCTCACTGCCGTCTCAATCTCTTTACCTCTCCTATTTAAATAAATGATTTTTTACGTGTCACTTTTTGGGCCATCAATTTTTCTTCTCTTTAACTTCAATAAGTTATTTTTATGTCATTTGTATCTAATGTTGTTTAAATAAATGATTTTTTTACATAATTTGTTTCCATTTGATGTGATGATTTTTATTCTTTATTTTGGCACAACATTATTTCAATTTTGTTTTTGTTAATTTTGCAATGTTCATTTATTTAAACTTGATATACTTATACCTTTAATAACATTTAGTAGAAATTAAATTAAATCAATATTATCATAATATTTATGTATATAAAATTTTAAATAATTTAAATATTATTTACTAGTATTTTGATAATTTATATTTATATATTTTTTAAATAGTTTATTATACATTAATATAAATTGATGTGATAGAATATAAAATATATTTTTTAAAAATTTATAAATTTTAATAAATTTGATCTGTTTTGAGATTATTAGATATCTTTGCCACACCGATACGTAATTTGATAAAATTCTATCACTCGTAAATTAATAGATATACTTGTCACGATCGATATTTCTTTTAAAATATAAATGTGATTCGATAGAATTCTACAACTAATGTTCATGAATGTATTTTGAAATTAATAGATATGATTGTCAGATTGAGACTTTTAAAATATAAATGTGATTTGACCAAATTCTATCTATAATGTTTATGAATGTGTTTTCAGATGAATAAATATGTTTGACATGTCAAGTCTGAATGCGTTTTGAGATTAATAGATATGTTTACGTGTTGAGTCTTTTAAAATGTAAATGTGATTGGACATAATTCTATCATTAATGTTCATAAATGTATTTTGAGATTAATAAATATGATTGTCACGTCGAGTCTTTTAAAATATAAATGTGATTTGACATAATTCTATCATTAATGTTCATAAATATATTTTGAGATTAATAAATATGATTGCCACGTCGAGTCTTTTAAAATATAAATGTGATTTTACGAAATTTTATTTATAATGTTCATGAATGTGTTTTGAGATTAATAGATATGTTTGACATGTCAAGTAATGTGTTTTGAGATTAATAGATATGTTTGACACGTCTCGAGTTTTTTAAAATATAAGTGTGATTTGACGGAATTCTATCACTAATGTTCATAAAATGTATTTTGAGATGAATAGATATGATTACCATGTCGAGTCTTTTAAAATATAAATGTGATTTTAAGAAATTTTATTTGACGGAATTCTATCACTAATGTTCATAAAATGTATTTTGAGATGAATATATATGATTACCATGTCGAATCTTTTAAAATATAAATGTGATTTTAAGAAATTTTATATGTAATGTTCATGACTGTGTTTTGAGATTAATAGATATGCTTGCCACCTCGAGTCTTTTAAAATATTTCTTCAGTTTCTTTTTTAGTGTCATTTTTGGAATAATATTTTGTTTTTTTAATTGTTATTTGCAAAATTTAAGGTAGTATTAAATGGACTTTTGTCAAAATTATCCTTAAATAATTATTACAAAGAGAAAAAAAGTAAAATAAATATAATAAATAATTTAATGAATTATAAGTGAAAGAAAAATTATTGTAAATTAACAATATTGATTAATTTTTTTAGTATGTATAAAAAATAAAAAAAGTGATACTTAAAAAGAAAACATAGGGAATATATGCGTGATTTGACAAAATTTTACCGATTATGTTGTGTTTTGAAATTAATACTCCCTCTGTCTCAATGTAAATTTTTTTTAAAGTTGTTCTATATAAATTAAAAAAGTAATAATTAAATAATTAAATATAACAATTTTATAAAATTACTCTTAATTACTATCGATAGTCATAAAGATATACCTTATATCTTAAAAATAATGTAAATAATATTTATTAGAGTTAAAGTTAATAAAAAATTAATTAATATTGCATTAAAACATATAAAAACTCTTATTTTTAAAAAAAATACTTTTATTTTAAAATATAATGAATAAATATGATTGTCATGCCGACTCTTTTAAAATATAAACATGATTTGACAAAATTTTGCAAATAATTTTCATAAATGAATTTTGAGATTAATAAATTTTATCAATACATCTTTTAAAATATAAAAGACATCTTTTAAAATATAAAAGACATCGATAGGACTTTTTAAATATAATCATATACTGAAATACATGTAGGTGCAAATCCATTTTCTAGTGTATTTTTCAAATTAAAACACTAAAAAAATGTTCTATTTTTTAAATCAAAATTATCTATCTTAAACAATGTAAAAAATGTGAAGTTTTCTTTTTATATAAGCAAACAAAACAATCTTAAAACCCAAAATATTCCCTAGTCAAAATAATTTCAATACCAAGTCTTCCCAAAAAGTGATTTAAACTTCTCTTACAAGAATATAATTTCAAATACTATTTCCCAATATTATAATATTCGCAGCCGGTCGGCAGTTACAAAAATACCAAAAAAATCATAAAAAACAAAAATCACAGATTATTTTAAATTAATCCCCTAAAAGTAAACGTATAATCATAAATAATAATAATAATAATAATAATAATAATAATAATTTTCTAAGCCTCAATGATACAATGAATATTTCCTTACTACTAGCATTTTCTTTTTTATTTTCCGTTATAAACTTTCCTTTCATATCAACAAGATAACCAAAAATTAATATTAGAAATTAGAAAAATAAAAAAAACTGAAAAGTAATGAATCAATCTTCCAAACGAAGGAACCAAATCCAGAACCCGACCCGATCCGAACATTCCAGAAACTCAAAATGCAGCACAGATCCACATCCACCGTTCTTCACGACGAGTGAACGACGACGTTTTTAACGTTTTCCGAAGGCGAGAAAGCGAGAACCACAAGCGCGGCCATAATCCCGACGGGAAAGAAAAGAAGAACCAACGGCGGCGGAGGAAGCGGCGGAAGCATCAGCGGAAGAACAACCATAGACGCGGCAATCGCGATCAGAATCAAAACGGAACCTAAGCTGAAGCAACGAACCATACTCTTTTTAATTCTGTTGTAATCGTCGTTTCTCTGACGATCATGTTACGCCGCCGGCGATGTGTTTAGCGGTTGCGACGAGGGTAGAATCGTAATTAGATTACGCTTTTCTGTTCGGTTTTGGGATAGTTGAAATTGAAGGGGAAAGTGGAAAGGGTGAAGAATTTGGGAGAGTATTTATAAAGGGATGTGGCGCGTGATTCATTGGATTGGGACTAATTCGATTTTCGATGGAAGCAAGTGGTACTGTGGGACCCACGGTTATTAATTTATTTTATTTAATTAATTTTTTAAAAATTTTTTAATTTTGATTTTTTGTGAGTACAGTGTAATGATCTTGCTACAAATCTGAAGAATCATAACAGCAGATCCCAATATATTCACTCTTTGATATGCCTGTGATATAAAAAATAGCTGCGTAAGAATATCTATTATTTTTACGCAGTTATTTTTTTTATTTTCCATTTTAAAAATAATTGTAAAAATATAAAAATAGACAAAAATATTATTAATTAATTTTATTTGAAATAAAGGAGTCAAAAATATATTTGAGTTTTTTTTAAAAAAAGAAAGTAAAATCATAAATTATTAGTTTTGCAATTTAGGCCTACATTTCCCTACAAGTTAAAGCAACTAGTTTGAAATTCATAATTGCTTCAAAAAATAAACTGATGTAATGTACTAACATTCATGTGAACGTTTACGCGCACTGTACGGTTTTGGGGACCATTACAATTTCATTTAATGCGTGTATTTAATAAATTGTGAAATTATGTCCCTTTTTTTAACCTATTATATTTTTAATCTATTGGGCAAATGCCCTTATTTAAAAAAAATTAAAATAAAATAAATTGTGAAATTGTTAAACTGAAAATTGAAAATGTAAAACGACATGATAAATTGTATAAAAAAAATCCAAACGACGTGATAAATTGCTTAGAAGTATTGTTCAACAACTTTAGATACCCCAAAGTCTTTCAATTTTCAAAATAATAAATGTTAAGAATTTCTCCATTTTCTCTCTAAATTTCCTGTGCTAGAAAATTTTCCATGACACTTGCATTAAAAAATGGATTGAAAAACGTCTTTTATTGGTGTCAAGAGAAACACACTTTGTTATGAAATGCACTACATTTATGAAGCCAAATTACCACAATTATTCAGCTTGATTTAAAAAAAATAAAATAAAAATAAACCTCGATAAGCATTCTTTAGTTTCCGCATAGTCGGTATCCATAAAATCTTTCAAAAAATATTTCTTTTGAGTTTATTTTGTGTATGTCAAATTATCCTTTAATGAACTATTTGTTAGTGCAACTTTTTATTAGATGTATTTTGTATGATGTCAAAACTATGATACCTTAGCGTTTATGCATATTGGATGGTATCCTCTGAGTTTTAATGTGCATCTTAGCATTAGAAAGTATAAAAACATTTTAGAAATGATTTAGAAAATGTTTCATGCTTTAAAAATGATTTTAAAAAGTTTTCATGCATTAAAAACAGGTTTTTATGTGAAAACAGGTCTATGCGTCGACACATACGAGTTATAGATCGTCACATGTGGGTCAGTTTTAAAACCAGTAGCTTATGTTTGATGTGTTGTCTGTATGTGTTGACACATAACCTATACAGGTCGACACATGACTAAGGGTGTACGCGGGTTGGGTTGGACCGGGTTCGCCTTAACCCGTTACCCAACCCGTTCAACTTTCAATGGGTTGGGTTTATCATCAAACCCGTAATTCTACTTTAAAAACCGACTCGAATCAACCCGGATATTTACGGGTTGGGTAGGGTTGGGTCCACGGGTTGTGTATATAATAATTATTATTTTCAATTTAAAAAATCTATAACACAATTCAATATAATTTTGCATATTTCAAACAATTAAATTATTTACGTAGTGGAGACAAATCATACATATAAAATAGAATAATTAAAAATATAACAATTAAAATTTTGAAATGTATTTTCTTTGTCATAAAAAATATTAAGATACATATACACCATTAATTATTTATATATTTTCATTAATATACCTTAATTTATAAAAATTTATTAGTTATTTTGATACTCAAATGTTATCCATTACAAATATATATCAACATATGTAAAACAAATATATAATAATATATAGTATATATTAGTTGTTTTGATACTCAAATGTTACATTTTCTAGCACATGCTTAAAAGTAGGTCCGTAAACTATCATATATATTAACACTTAATAATATATAAAATTTCATAAAATATCATTTCCATAAAATTCATAAATTCTAAATAATTCAAAAGCAAATAAACATCACTTAGTCTTAAAATGACATAGATGTATTGGTCCAATATTGGTCTAATAGCACCAAAATCTAACAGCAACTATAAAAGATTCCAGCACCAGCAGTGAAAGGTTTAGCAACAACAGAAAATCCAACAACAGTAGCTGTAAAAGATTCCAGCAACAACAATGAAATGTTTAGCAACAACATAAAATCCAGCAACAACAGTTAAAAGTTTAAGCAACAATAGTCAAAAGAAGAAGAAAAAAAACAACATTAGAAAATACCTTAAAATCTAGTAGTAACAGTTGTATTGAGCTCAACCGCAGTAATGCCAACATCAATAGAAACTAATCCAGCTAACTCTATATATGTAAACACAAACAACTAATAAGAATAATGTAATGTAATACTAAAATAAAATAGATTTTAAAATTCAAACATATAATTCATACCTGACTCAACCTTTTCCAATTCAACCAACTCTTTTTCTAAATCAATGACCTTAGGAGATTTGATCCAATTTTGAGTACAAATCAAAGCTTCAACGGTAGAGGGATTCAAGGAACTACGAAATGAATCAAGGACACGACCTCCTGTACTAAAAGCGGATTCAGAAGATACAGTGGATACAGGGATAGCCAATATATCTCTAGCTATGCGGGAAAGCACATGATATTTATTTGTTTTTCCTTTCCACCAAGTGAGAATATTAAATGTAGGAGAATCATATTCAACACCATCCTCCAAATACCTTTCCAACTCATTTTTTTGCACTTCACATTGTTTTTTCTTCATATTCATTCTAAACAAATTGTCCCAATCTTCATCATCTTCACCATTTTCAATTCTAGAATGAGAGGCAATGTTTGAAGATGAGGCATTGGAACCACCATCATGAGAAACAGGATACAAAAATAAATAGTGCTCAAACAATTTAGCAATGAGAGATTTCAATTTCTTTAACATATCCTCTGACAATTTTTCACCATACATCCGAGTAAAACAAAATTCAATATAGTCAAGCTTATAACGAGGATCAAGATAAATAGCAACAAAGAGAAGATAATTTATTGTATTGCTTTCCCAATACTTGTTGTACTTCAATTGCATATTTGCTGTCATGGTTTTCAAAATTGGATCACTAACATTGTGCCTCCATTTATTCAACGTTTTTTTAATATCCATCAACTGTTTGAAAAAAGAGTTAGCAGTAACATGCAATGACCCAGAAAAAGAAAGTGTGGCATCATAAAAAGTTTTCAAAAACTTCACAAAAATACGAGCTCGTTCCCAATCAGCTCGATTAGGACATCCTTTCGACTCAATACGGAGATTAGTTAAAAATGCAACATCAGCATGTTCTAAGCGGTAAAATGCATGTTCATACTTTTCAGCGATGTTCAACATTAAATAAGTAGAGTTCCATCTGGTTTCTACATCTAGTGTTACAAATGCTTTAGAACATACACCAACAGCTTCTGCACACTTCTTGAAAGTAGCCAACCTACTAGGAGAAGCCTTGACAAACTTACATGCAGCCCTAATTCTTTTAACAGATTCATCAATATCCTTTATTCCTTCTTTGACAATCAAGTTTAATATGTGAGCACTACATCTCATATGCAAGTACTCCCCATTAAACAAAGTACGACCATTCCAAAAACTCATGCCTCGATTTAAATAATCAATTGCCAAATTGTTAGCACTTGCATTATCAACAGTCACACAACATATAGACTTGATACCCCATTCCTTCATGCAATTCTCTAATGTTATCCCTATAGTTTCACCTTTATGGTCAGCAATTATACCAAAGCTTAATATACTCTTCTTTAAATTCCACTCGTCATCAATATAGTGAGCTGTAACACACATATAATTCATATTCTGAATCGATGTCCAAGTATCAGTGGTAAGAGACACCATTTGTTTATTAGCAGACAACATAGATTTCAATTTTTCTTTCTCATCGAAGTACAAGCATAAACAATCTCTGGCAACAGTGACACGAGATGGAATTTTGAATCTTGGTTGAGCCTCTTTCATGAACATATTAAATCCTTCATTTTCAACATATTTAAAAGGGAGCTCATCAATGATTATCATCTTTGCAAGTGTTAATCTAGTCCTCTCTTGATTAAAATCAACAAGTTTCAAGCTAACACTATTAGGATTATCCTCACTTTCTTTTCCAATAGCTATAGTTTTTTGTTTCTTATCAACTACCCTATTTGGATTTTTCAGACACACTTTCAAATGTTTATGCATGTTAGTAGTGCCATGACTACCACTATTTGCAGCATATTGTTTCCCACAATACTTACATATAGCCTTATCATTAACCCTTTTAAAATCTTTCCAAACTGTAGAAGGTTTTCTAGAGGGTTTTCTTTTGCTTACCTCTATTAGTGCACTTGGTGGCAATGATGACAACCCTTCTCCTTGTATTTGTTGAACTTCTTGCTCTTGTTCAAGTGGATGAGCAACATCTTCACTGACAATTTGTGATTGTTCCACTTCCATTTTCTATAAAAAAACAATTTTTAATATAAATTATTATTAAAACAACATTAAACAAAATATATTTAAATTAATAATATGAAACAGAACAGGACTTTGCATCAAAATATATTTTCATCATATGAAACAAAATAGTACTTTGCATCATATGAAACAAAATAGTACATTACATTGAACCTATCATCATATTTTGCATTGATA